GATGTCTGTTGCTGGATTGTCCTGTTACGGGGATGGATTCCGATTGGTTGGGCCACCATCGGAATGTTCACTTCGAAGCAAAGCTAGAATTGATGCTCTCTTTGAGGATTGCAGGTAAAATAAATGAGAATTAAAATCCATCAAGTTGATCAGCTTATTATCATGTTTGTTACCATTTTCTTCCAAAATTGAACGGTCCTTTGGTCAATCCAATTGTCCTAAATCATAAAATTCATTTGATCTTTTAGATCCATCTGCAGTTCGACTATCGGTGGTTGGTACGCCGGTGTCTCAACGGTAACGTCGATTCATTGTGAAGATCAAAGTTTCGAAGAGCAAAAGAGAGTAAATAGTGCAGTCCAAGCAAGAATCGAGGCGATGTTTGCTTCCGTGGAAGCTGAAAGCGGAACACCAGGAGAATGTGCGGCTGCAATATTGCCGGTAGCTTTTTCTCTTTTATTTTTTTATTTCTTTATTTCTTTATTTTTTTAATTTTTTTTTTCTTTTTTTTTTTTTTTTTTTTTCTTTCAACATTTCATTCGAATCTCTTATCTTTTAATTTCCATCCATGCTCAGTGATGTAAAACTATTAAAATGAATTCAAGTCATGATAACATTTTCTTAAAAATAAAAAAGATCAAAAGATACAGAAGAGAATTTATTATAAAAGAAAGGATAATGCCTAATAATTGAGTTGATCGGGAAAATTAACTTTCTTCTCTACAATGAGTGGATAATTAATACCGCGCCATGACTATATAGATTCATATATATATATATATATATATATATATATATATATATATATATATATATATATAAACGTCGATTCTACTCCATGTGCTACTTTTATACACAACGCAAACGTAGGTATGTTGAAAGAATCATGAAATTTTCATTCACGTTAAACACCAATCATCAAGTATACCACTGTCAAGTTTCACTCTCTAGAGATACAAAAGAGATTCTTTTAGTTGAAATGAAATATATAATCCAAATGTTAGAAAATAAAACTCAAATAGATTTGTACACGTTAAGAAGAGTTTCACTAATTAGATCATCGTTTAATTAGTCGCGGCCAGTTACGCGTTAGAAAACGATTTTCCAGAGAAAATATTCTCGAGATATCTCGCAGAAATTGAAAAAGAAAGTTTGAAATAATTCGTACTACTACGTTTGATAGAATCATCATGGTTTTGCGATAATCCTGATCTTTTATCTTTTCCTAAGCAAAATGGAGGAAGCTACGGAAAAGGAATAAAAAAGAAAAAAGGGAAGAAAGAAAAAAGAAAAGGAAAAAAAAAAACAAAGGGACTTTCCTTGGCATAGCAAATATGCTCCCGGAATTTTTAATCGTCACTTTCATTCCGTTCACGATTCACGAAGCGTGACGAACTAACTTAAACTCCTTCGTATCTCTTTGGAAAAATTTTTCATTTAACTGACGTGCAGATTACTTCTATATTAAATAAAATCTAGTTGCGAGTTCCTAGAGACTCTTTTATTTATTTATTTATTTATTTATTTTTTTTTTTGATCGATCTCGTTACCTGATAATATATCATTTGAAATTCTAATCGAATAGATTTAAATTTACAAATTATAACATTCTAAAATTGACCTTTTTATCGATCAGGTGAAGTACATGGGTGCTGCTCCAGTTGGTGGTCGAGTAGCAAGCATTCGTGGTCTTCAAGAACCTCTTCGTCAGCTTTTAGAGAGAATCGATGGATCAATTCAAGCAGAATTAGAAGTATCTAGACGTGGACTGACCTTTCGAACAGGTGAGACCTGTGAGAAGAATAATCCTTTTCGTAGAATAGCTGTTTGGAGTGCATTGAGACTTCGATGTAGGAAGATTCAGTCGGGCGAGTCGCATTATGCTTTTCTGCCACTGGTTGGAGATCCTGATCAAGGCCAAGGAACCGATGACAAACACGCTGATCTCTACAGGTAAATTTATATTAGAAACTTAAGAACGATGATTCCAAATCTAGCGATTAGATATTCATGATGTCTAATACTTATCGTATAAGCCATATTCTTGAACAGGTCTGATGTAAGAGATTGGATTAATTGATTAAAAATTCTCTTCAATTCATGTACACATTATTAACTGGTGGAAGAGTCTCAATACTATAGACACTTTGATTCATACTCTTGAACACTTACTGCTATCCTAGTTCTTATAAAAACATATGTACGCGTGCACACAAATACACGCATTAAACTCTTGGCTTCCTTTTAAGGAAACTGGTATTTAAATAAAATTCTATTTTATAGGACAATGCGTGGTTTGAAAAGTGACGTTGAGGTTTATCCACCTATCTTTGCTGTGGTCATGAGACGTGCAGGAGCAGCAAGATTGTTAGAATGTCATGCATTTGCTTGTCAAACGGAAGAAGATGCAGTTGCTGCTGCGGCTACCTTGTATAGAGCATTATTAGCTGATCTTGATGGGAATCGAAGAAGACCTAGACATACTAACGGTTTGGGCTGCGTTAGCTTGGCTTCGGTAGTTTCTAGCATTCGAGAAGTCAGTCCAAGTAACAAGAGCAATTTATTGACACCACCACCACCTAAACCAAACGTTCCACCTCATCCGGTAAGACCACCGAGGTCAAAAAAGAATTCCATTTCGAATTCAGCTACCGAAGATGAGAGTAATAACAAATCTGTTGGTGTCCAAAAAGCACCGAGAAGAAAAAAGAAAACGACATCGGACGTACAAGCTGAAGATATACTCGAAGCTAGAGGTAGAAGAAGGGAACCCGTTAAACCGGACAAGCCAGTAAGCCTTATACAAAAGAATTTGGAACAATTTGAAAAGAAAGATGATATTAAAAATTCTAAAAATATTCAACAAACGGAAAAAATCGAGATTGATCGGCCAACTAGTCGTATGGATAAGATCTACGATGATAAAACTAACAGTAGTATTTACGGAGTCCAATCTAACATTTATGAAAAATTATTATCATCCAGAAGAAGCAATGATTTCGATACTAACTCGAGATCTATTTACTTGCCAGCGCGAAAAGACGAAGCTCTTCTTTCAAGCGAAAAGAATTACGGATCTTACGATTTTTCTCGAAGACATTTTAACATTGAAAATACAAAGGAATCTTATTCTAAAAAATCAGATTGTTTTCCTATTTACGATAGAATCGATAAACCATCGAACACGAAGAATCCGATTTATATGGAAAGCACGAAGAAGAATGATCGACAAAAGATCTATGAGGAACACTTCAGAGATGCGGAAAAGATCTATAGTCTTGGTCAAGAAGATATTTATGTTCCTGGTAATAAGAAGATGGATCGTGGACACGTTCACAGTTCTCAGGAGAAGCAAGGAGAAGTATTCTTTTCGAGAAATCGTAAAAATGATGTCTATGAAGATTATAAAAAGATTCCTCAGGAAAAACACTGTTCTAGAAACAAAGAAAAATCCTCTGGTACAAAACTCTGTAGAGTTGTTACCATGGATAAACCCTTGAAGAAGATAGGTTCTAATGACTCAGAAACTGAACCGAAGATATCAGAGTACAGTCAGCCTCGAGTTAGAAGAAGAAGTAGAGCTGGTAGCGAGCCACCAGTTGGTAGATCTGAAAGTACTAAGAAAATCGTTCAAGAGACTAGACTGAAGAGATCACAAAGTGATTTAGACGTAGAGAGAGGAGATTTAATGACTAGAGTGGAATTACCAAGAAGAGCGAGTTTTCTAAAACCTGGAAGTACCAGAAGAGTAAACAATATGAAAGGTGGAACTCCTTTGGGATTTACTGAACTCTTCGATGAATTTAGAAATCAGGAAGGTTTGACCAGCGTCGACGACATTTTGGCAGCTATTATAGGTAAGAAATAAAATGATCATTACAATATTATTAACAAATAATAACAATGATAATCATCTAAATTATATTATTTTCAGATCCAGAAGGTATGTCATTTAACGATCTCAAGCCACTATACAAAGAATTTTTATTAAAACTCGCTGCTACCTTGACACAAGACGAACTCTATCAAAGATCTGCTAGTATAATGAGAAGACGACGTAGACCACAAAGAAGACGATCGACTCGTCGACCTTGTCTATTAGGACGTGCTATCAAGAGATCCGTCTCGAGATTAAAAGGTGGACCAACCGAATTTACATCGGTTATATTTCCGGCTAGAAGATTGAATGATAGTTTTGGAAGCAGTTCGTCTTGCGATGCTAGGAATAATCATCGAAATCGTGTCTTGGCCAATAGGCACGGAAAGAGACGATCGTCCTGGAGAATGAACAAGCATGGACAGTGTCATACAACTTCGGAGGACAGTGACACGTGTACGTAAAATGATGTTAACACAGATTGCCAATAGAAATTCGTCGATCGAATGACATCGATAAATTTTCTTCAGGTAAACGAGCTAGTCGCAATGCTGGGGCAGCTGCAAACAGAAGCAGCAGTGGTTACGTAAGTTGCAGCGAATGCAGCTACGATTCCGAATCCTGCACCTGTATCTCAGCGGATAAATGTTATTGTTCCCTGTCCAGAAGACAACTCGTAGAACCTATCGTCCCAAATACAGTTGTGTGTGCTTGCGACACGGACAGTTGCTCGGAAAGCAACAAATGTTATTGCGGAAGGACACCTGTACGATCCAACATCCTGGAACAATTGAGACAAAAAGGTATTGTGCCGTCGGAGAGTACCTTAAGTAGAGGTGGAAGCCCCGATAGAATAACATCGTCAAAAACCTCTAGGAGTCATACTTCTTCACATAACTCTGAATTATTGAAGGTGATTTATAAAGATCCTCTTGTCCAAATGAAAATCATTTTAATTTTCTACTTGCAACTGCTAAGTACTTCCTTTTTTCTTTATTTTCATCCTCAGATTCAATCCTCTCCGGTTTGTGGTAGTTCGGACAATTTAGCATTGGATTATGATCTCTTCAGTCCAGGAAGAAAATCCCAGCAATCATCCGATAGCGAGAAGGTGTTGGTTGTAAGTGCTAGAGATACTCAAGGTCGTTTGGTCTACGTTGGAGGGGCAGAACGAGAGAAGAAATGTTTCTCTCATGGTAACGTTAGATCTGACGCTCATCATGAAGCACTCTCGATAAAAAAAAGTGCTGAAATTGCTGCTGTCTTTGGATCAGATTCTAATAAGATTTGTAGGAGAGCTAGTAACGCATCTAGTATCAAAAGTTCCATCAGTTTGGAAGCTGGTTTAGGATATTTACCTTGATGGTAATGTTTCCTGATCTGTCAATGACAGTTTTATATCAAAACTTGATCTCAAAGCTACATAGCTAATTCAAGTTTAGTAAAGTAACATGAGCATATTTTAGTCGATGATAGTTTATTTCTTGATTTCTAATATAAAGAAAAAGAAGAAAATAACGTATCGCATGTAAGTTCCATAAGAATGGTACCTGTTGCAAATTTAATTAATGAAAAACAAGTAATACCATATTAAAATATATTCTCTTATAATCTATAAGTCCTTGATTCTTTCCAGATATTAAATAATAATATCTTCGAAAGAACGAGATCGATATTATTAATGCTTTTGCTACTTTGAACCTGAATGGCTTAAGTTAGTAAACTAAGGGAACAGTGCAATATCGTGGATCATGTATACATATCCTTCGTGAATACATTTTTTAAATATATTACCGCATTATTTTATTATCAAGCGCAAGTTATATTTGTGTCCACACACATATATATATATGTAACGCACATATATATATATATATATATATATGACTTGAGCTATGTTCATAAAGAAATATTTAACAAGATATCAGACATCTTATAAAACTAGTATTTCTCAAGTATTTTTGATAAATTCTTCATCCATTTTTTGAAATTTGTCCTTGTATTCCATTGGAACGTCTACCTCTTTTATATTATCCAAACCTATTTCTTCTTCAGTTCTGGCATATAAAAAAAAAAAAAAAGAAAAAAAAAAAAAAATGCGATGATTATAATGTCTAAAAAGGAAAAAAAAAAGAAAAACTCATACAAATGATATAAAATATACCTAATTAAGATGTCAACAACATTTTCACAAGCAAGAAGAGCTTCCTTGCATTTCTCTGATTTGTGCAATTCTCTTAAAATAATATAAGTGTTTTTTTCTCTTAAAATTTCCCTTCCTCTTTTTGTAGCACACAATTGTTCTAAAGCTTCTAGTAACATTATTCTGAAATAATTTAAAAAAATTTTTAAATATGTCCACATTTATATATTTATCAGAGATATAATTATACCTAATATCTGGATCTGATTCTCGTTCCTTTGTTTCGGGTAAGTATTGCAGATCAATTGGTAACTTTTCATTATCTTTATCGTCAAATTCTTCTGGTCCAGCAAGAGGTAATAATAAATATGACAAAATATCTATATCCTCGCTTAATAACCATTCATGATTTTCCACATCGAAGCAACAATTTTTTAAAGTTCCAATAATACCGCCTCTCCTTACTGTACTATCTGAATATTCTGTGAAAGGGAGGAGACGCTGGATAACATTTCGTTTCCTATCCATTATATATCTAGATAATAATATAAAAATACTGTAGAATTATAAAAAAAGAAAAAAAAATTATAACATATAATATTTGATTACATTTAACATACTTCCTTACAGAGGGAGATTGAGTAAGATTACTAAATACAGGCCCTAAGTAATGCAAATTAGCTCCTGTAACATTATATTTCTTTGCAGTAAATGCTGCTACGATGGAGTCCCATGCATAATCACTTTCTTCAATAAGTGTTATGACTCTGTCTACCAAATATCTAGGCCTTGTCATATTGGAAAGTATCATACAACATGGATCTGCTAATATGCTATTTTTATCCATTATACAGCTGGACAAAAATAATAATTTTAAAAGTTATAAGATAAAGGGCAAATTAATAAAAAAAAAAAAAAAAGAAAAAAACTATTTAATAATATCTATACCTGATACAAACTTTTACTAAGTTGAGATTATATTTTTGTTCCTCGTCCTGTCGCATAGATTCAGATATTGTTAAGAAAGCATTAGCTCCTGCTTCATCCGCACTTATATTTATAGCCGATAAAGCTGCATCTTTTGCTATTGCCATTGTATTATCTTGCATAAGTATAACGAGTTGTTTTAATATATCTAAAGAACCAAATAAGAGCTCACGACCCTCCTTGCTGCCTGTGATATCTACATTTGAAATAATAAATCAATGTATGCTATGACAAACATAACCTATAAGTTTTACCAATCAAATAAAATTAATTTTGAAAGAAAGTGATAATACGTACTTAATACATTTTGCAATGCAACAGCTTTTAGATCTAAACGAGTATTTTCGTTTAGAAAATTAGCTATTTCTTTTAACACTTCCATGCTTAGAATTAAATTCAACAAACACGCTGGAAACGATTATTACAACTAACTCATAAGATAATGCTTATTGATAAGCTTTTCAATAGAATCGCCATCTATCGACAGAATAGTAAACTAATTAGAAAATAAACCTGAAATCGATTAAATCTCGATACATTAATCGATTAAAAACGTAATTTATTTCACTGACATTTAAACAATGTATACGGTAGGGAACTTCTTTCATATGTTTTAATAAATTTTTACAGGCGGTCGATAAAACAGATAATTACTTCGACAACGTTCGGTAAAATATAAATTTTTTTTCACCGAAGGTTGATAAAACAGATGACTACTATACTTATATATTATATATTATTTTTTTTTTTATAAAAATCGAAACATTAAGTTCATTTCTACACTATCTATAAAGTATAATCTAACAAGCTTATAGACTCGTTACCCACTTGTGCTTGTAGTTCATATTTTGTCCATACCTATCGCTGAAGTCACACACGCTTCGAGCGAAAGGCTGATGAACAGCCTTAAAGTGAAAACATTCTATAACGTAAATATTCTACGGTTGTATATTGGAGTGGGAGTAGTAGTGTGTCAATTCTAGATGCCGTGATGGATGAAGTTACGACAAATGGTAGGTTTTTTCTTCAGAAAAAATTCATTGAAACGTTTTGTTAACCAGAGCGAAATAGAATAGATGAGTAATGTGAAATGAAAGTGAAAGTGCGATAGAAAAATATATAGTATGGAGGAAGTTAATCAACAATTGTATCTCTATGCTCGATGATCTGTATGTCGCGTGGGCGTCCTGTCCTTCTCTGCTTTCCTGGCCCACGCTTTAGTATTTATAGTTTTATTTATGCGTTGTCCCGTAATATTGTATTGTATCAACGCTTTTCTTTGAATCCAACCAATCAGATTTACACTGTAACGACTATTTCATTGCATTGAGTCTTCATATTAGAGTAGATATAAAGCAGATACGAACTGTCATCTGATTAATTACTTATCGCTCGTAATTTTATGTTAAATATGAGTCATGTAACGACTCATATATAATTTCAAATATACTTAACTTTTAAAAATATCTTCTTGCAAGCTTTTCTCTTTTTTTTTGTTTTCTTTTTTTTTTGTTTTTCTTAAAGAACATTAATTAATCAAAAGTTATATCAATGAACAATGTTTTTAAGCCGTTCTATTCATTTTTTTGTTCTTATTTCTTCTTCTATTATTAACCCCAGAGTTATATAAATATGGGATAATGAATTTTGTTATTAATTAACAGATACATTATTAGCGTGTAAATTATTTATAAATGTCATTCTAGTTGATAATTTCTTTTCTATGATATTTAGATCCAGGAGGAGGCGACAATGGTGGAACATTAATATGCGCTGGTTGTCTTAATGCAATCGATGAGGATGAGTTTATACAGGCATTGAGTCAAGAATGGCACATCGATTGTTTTCGGTGAGTTCAATTTTTTTCTCATGTTCATATTACAATCCTCTCATTGATATTTTATTTTTGACAGATGTTCTGTATGCGACATTGGCCTTTCCTCTTGGTATTTTGAGAAAGATGGTTTACTTTTTTGTAAAGATGATTATCTGGCTGCTTATGGAGAAGCCTGTCAAGGTTGTGGCCAAATCATTACTGGACCAGTTATGCTGGCTGGTGATCACAAATTTCATCCAGAATGTTTTGCCTGTAATTCGTGCGGAGCTTTCATTGGGGATGGCGAAAGTTATGCGCTTGTTGAAAGATCTAAACTTTATTGTGGAGTTTGCTACAAAAGGCAAATGCAACCGCTTAGCAGAACAGCTAATCATCCATTTGTTAGGAAACCGCATAGCATTAGATTGGTTGAAATACCTCCAAGTACAACCAATCCTGATAAGCAACGAGAAATTAAACTTACATTAGATACAGCTCCTAATCCTCGCAGTTGTGGTGCATTACTTCGTATCTCTGCGTAAGTATACAAGCGATTATTCCAAAATCCTAGTATCAGTCATTTTTTAATATTCTATGTCATTATCTTAAGATGAACCTGCAATGCTTTATCTACAACTTATATATCAGTTCTTTTTTTCTTTTCTTTTCTTTTCTTTTTTTCTTCTTTTTCTTTTTCTTTTTTTTTTAATTATCTCTCATTTGCTATATTATCTCATTTTTATATATCAAGTATTTTTACATTATATATATATATATATAATGTATATATATATATATATATATATATATATATATATATATATAAGTGTACCTTATACATATATTTATTTTCAATCATTATCATCAAATGTTTTTAATGTTTTATATGCCATATTCTCTTTAAATTATATTCATAAATTTATAAATGTTGTTGTTTATCTATATTATAATAATTGGAAAATATTATTAAATGAAAGAATATTTTTGTTATCAGCATGGAACCCATTGTACATAAGTTATTATACTCGATTGATGATCAATCGATTTATCAATATATTTTTTGGGATAAAATAATTGTAAATAAGTAAAATTAAAAATCATATCATATTTAATTTGACATAATTATACATAAGATTTGCTGCTTCTTTGTAATAATTAACCATGCATGACAAATCTATGGTTATTTAAGGACTTATAAAGATATGCAGCCCTTAATAACTTTCAACAAAAATGCAGGTTAATGAGAAATGTTCGTGGAAAGATCAGTAAGCTGCTGGCCTCTGTGATGGAGGTTCTGTTTAGGCTATGCTGCCACTTCTCTAATCATAGGTACAGCATAACAAATAATAATATGCACTATGTATAGTAAATTGATTGCGCATTTTAGATGCATGATTAGATATAAATTGTAAAATTTTCAATCAGAGATATTTCCTTTTTTTTTTTTTTTTTTTTTATTCATAGATATTGTCACTGTGGTAAAATTTGTAATGTAAGATAAGCATGCACCAAATGTGAATTAAAATTAATTTATATTATTACAATTTTTTTATACTCAAACTCTATACTATGTTAGTTGTATATTTCGTACGTATGAATGATATACATGTACTTAATAATTTTATGCACATGTATATAAAGTTTTATTAGAGTTACATGTTAATAATTGTTAAGTTATTATGATATTATATATAATGGTAAATAATCTTGTCTTTTTTTAAAAGATTATTAAACGAGAAAAACATTTTTTGTTAAGGCGTGCAATAATTAATTTAAAAAATATCTTATGTCTTATTATGGGTTGTTAATGCTTGCTTTAATATATTTATATCTCATATATATATATATATATATATGTATATATATGTTTCTTCCAAATATGTAATTAAAACTAATTTTACTAATATTAATGGCATAACAATAATCATTAGAAACTTTTCTCTATTTTAACGCTTTATGCAAGGAGTGTTAGCGTTAAAGAATGAGAAGTTATTAAAAATATTTCTAAATATAATGAAGAACTTATTTGAAACGTTTCATTCTTTCTCAGAATTGTTCATTTAGCAATGTACTTGATACTTTTGTATTCTTATAAAACAATTGAATGCTCATAAGAATATTGCATGTACTTACTACCACGTTTATCTTAATAATAATAATAATAATAATAATAATAATAATAATAATAATAATAATATAATAATAATAATAATAATAATAATAATAATAATAATAATATAATAATAATAATAATAATAATAATAATAATAATAATAATATAATAATAATAATAATAATAATAATAATAATAATAATAATAATAATAATAATAATAATAATAATAATAATAATAATAAACCACAAATATGTATAATAAATAAAATCAATTGTTGCAGATTAAATATGTCCAGTGATCTCATGTCTTTACATATTGGAGACCGAATATTGGAAGTAAATGGTACACCTGTAAAAGATCAGCCAGTAGAAAGTATAGAAAATCTCATACAGTATTCGGACACAGTTTTACAGGTACATATATATATATATATATATATTCCTATAAGATCTGAAAAAAAAAACTTTGGATAATTGTAACATTGCTGTTACAACATATTCATTGTTTATAGTTGACCATTGAACACGATCCTGATGCAATGTCACGTCGTTTAACATTTCCTACACCACCGCCAACATTATTGACAACTTCAAGTCCAAGAACAAGTCCAGAAAATAAAGAAAGACTTTTTAAACGTCGTGACGAGGGTTATATCAGTGGAACACGAAGTAGACAATTGAGAAGGACGAGAGATCCCATGCACAAAGAACGTAGCAGTTCAATGTCGCGTTTATTAGACGGGTAAACATTTGAATAAAATTCTTTTAATTTGATTAACGAATAAAATTAATTAATACGATTTTATTAATTATTATTATTACAGAACAACTCCAACAAATCCTACGTGTGACTTAAGTCGAACCAGATCATTCCGCGTAGAGCCAAAAAATCAAAGAATATTTCGTGCCAGCGATTTGGTTAAAGGTGAACTTCTGGGAAAAGGATTTTTTGGTCAAGTATTTAAGGTCACTCATAGGGACACGAATGAAGTTATGGTGCTGAAAGAATTGTACAGGGTAGACGAAGATGCTCAAAAGAATTTTTTAAAAGAAGTAATTGTTTTCTTAAGTAATATATAATTATTAATTATATACATATACATATATATATATATATATATATATATATATATATATATATATGTGTATATAACAGGTGAAAATTATTTAATAATAAAAATATAATCCTTCTTTAAATTTTAAGGTCGCCGTACTACGTTCGTTACATCACAATAATGTTCTACGTTTCATTGGTGTTCTTTACAAAGACAAAAAACTACATTTAGTTACCGAGTACATATCAGGTGGTACATTGAGAGCTCTTCTTCACGATACCAACGAACCATTACCATGGGAACAACGAACATCTTTTGCAAAAGATATTGCCGCTGGTATGGCATATTTACATTCCATGAATATAATACATCGTGATTTAAATTCCCACAATTGTTTGGTAAGAGAAGACAAGACCGTAGTTGTGGCAGATTTTGGCTTAGCCAGGATCATACAAAACGGTAATTCCCCGGATAATCGTAAATACAATAGACATTCCGACGGGGAAG